AGCCCTCTTTTTGATTCTTGTAGTATACAGGGTCCTCAATGGAAGGCAGGTTGGTAGTAATTGTTTTTTTCTGCAGTTCTAATTATCCTCTGAAATCTGTGTCAGTCTTGTTGGGTTGCAGAACCAAACCAGACAGTTATAGAGGTGCAGATGACAGACTCAATAATTCCTCTGTAGAAGGAAGTGAGTTGATGAAGAAGGGAGACAGAATACAACAAGTATTTCCCATCACCCAGTTCTGAATTTTTCCAGAGGGAAAAAAAATCCCAATAGGTGTTTAAATTCATCCTGACTTTCTATACATTCATTTCTACCAATGGTGTACAGAATAAATGTCTTGAATTTTTCACCAATTCTTTTTTTTTTCTCTGAAGAAAGAGAAATTGCTTTTCAAGGGGAAAATTAGGAGATGAATGTGGTATTCTTATATCTATTTAACTGCAAAGTGCCCAAAGGTACAAAGGCAGAAGGTTCACCTCCAATTATACAATTTGCCCTCCAGAAGTCTCCAGCTTGGTTGGTTGTCAGTCGTTCACTTGTATCAGAGGGGAAGACATTACGAGGGTGCTTTTCCTATGGGCCTTCACAGTGGGAGATCTGGGCTGCCAGGAAAGGCGAAAGTACAAGTAGTCCTCAACGTACGACTACAATTGAGGCCAAAATTTATGTTGTTAGGTGAGAAATTTGTTAACTGAGTTTTGCCCCATTTTATGACTTTTCTTGCCACATTTTTTAAGTGAATCACTGCCGTTGTTAAATTAGCAACACGGCTATTAAATGAATCTGGTTTCCCCACTGAATTTGCTTGTCAGACGGTCGCAAAAGGGGATCACGTGACTCCAGGACACTGCAACCATCATAAATGTGAGGCAGTTGCCAAGCATCCGAATGTAAATCACATGACCATGGGGATGCTACAGTGGTTATAAGTGTGAAAAACGGTCATAAGTCACTTTTTTCAGTGCTGTTGTAACTCCGAAGGGTCACTAAATGAACTGTTGTAAATTGAGGACTACCTGTAATGGGAAGCTAGCAGCAGGAAACAACACCACATCTTCCACCTCTGACAGTCTCACTAGCTCAAAAATATCACAAAATATCATAAATATCCATATAGTTTTTTAATTACATGGTCTTCCGAACCCATTAAAATCTTATCTAAATTAGTCAAAGCATTATAAAAACCTTCTTGTTTAGAGTCTTTTTCATATCTAGAACGTAGATATTGGAAGAAGAACAAGTCAAAGAACCAATGATAGCTTGGGGGAAAACTTTGGGCATAGCATTGATTTAGAGAAATGGCAAAAATTGTGGTCACATAACTATAAGATGACAATGTCTACGGTGTATAAAGAGAACTTGTATAAGATGTTTTACAGATGGCATTTACCCCTGACAAGAATAGCCAGAATGTTTAAGAACAAATTGGAGAAGTGTTGGAAGTGTCATCAGACCCAGGATCATATTACCATATGTGGTGGACTTGCGCAGACGCTAAGAGATACTGGACTAAGATACATACTGTATGTGGCTGGAGAAGATGATAAAGAGACATATTGACTTTAAACTGGAGATATTTTTACTAGGGATCTTACCAGAGTCATATAATAAAGAATTGCAATATTTAATAGTGAATGTCTTAACAGCGGCTAGAATTGTATTTGCTAAAAATTGGAAAGGAGAGAAAATACTTAATGATGAAGAAATTATTAAGAAAATGATGGAATGTACTGAAATGAGTAAATTGACATTGAAATACGAGAACAGGAAGATAAACAATATTTGATATGGGGTTTGTTTTATCAATGGATAGAAAATAAATCATGGAGATGAGATATGAAATATGAAATGCAATAAGATAAAATATTTTAAACTCTTCTTTTAGGAAAATAAGCTTGTATATAGATATTATGAAGATTGCAGGAGCACAAAAGGATGAAAACCGTTCTATACACTGTCTGTAATGATTAGGAATGATGATGTTTCTATGTTTTGTTTGTTTTTTGTTTGAAAATAAAAAAATGTTTTTCTCAAAAAATAAATAAATCACAAAATAAAAAGAAACTTCCAAGCACTCAGAGAATCAGACAAAGATTATCCTCTTTTGCATGGGAAAATATTTTAAGAGATTGCCCAACAGATTTTGATTCTGAATTAATTGATACGATGGATTAGTTTAGCATCTGCACAGGAGGCTAAGCGATCCAAATTGGTATAAACAGAATAGTCTGCGTATTTTCTGAGCAGAAGTGAACCATTCTGGGGATGATGTTAAACATTTTGACTTATTTCCCCACGAAAGAACATTCTGCATGTTTCAGATTATTTAAGTCCAACAGGGATATTACAAAAAAAAAAAAAGAGAGAGCTACAAATAAACCATTGTGCCCATAAAAAATACACCCTCCCTTCTAAAGAGTGATTCTTTATTCATGTTTAAATATCCCATCTCTCTTCTATAGAGCTTGGGGGCAATATAGATCCTGTTATCGCATGTTATTCTCAATCAATCCTGTTAGGTTGTGACTCGGTCAAGGATGTGCTAAAGCTTGTAAGCACAATCCAGTTCCAAAGCTCCGCATAATACATCAGAGTGGCTCTCTTAAGTAAGTGAAATGCACACCGATGGAAATGGTGTAACATCAAAGCACCCCCGATTCTAAAAAGGACACAGAGCTGAACAAATGGATTAACATGCACAGGAGGGAGAAAATTGTCATCTTGCCTAGAGAGGTGTTTATCCATGGTCACAAGAGACCAGAGACAAAGGTAACACCAAGCAAATGTTCATTTATTGAAGCATTTCTTTAACATATACTGTGATAACTTAAGAGGAAAATCTATCACCAAACATTCTACCAAGGGTGCACAGTATGTTAGGTAAATGTTTATGTATGTACGTTAATTATAACATAGCTCCAGGCAGTGTACCCTTAAATGAGGTGTCTCTATCAATCTTGTATCTCCCTCCTCAGCTGCTGCTAAGGCTGTTCTACTCCCATAATTGCTGAAACCATTTGCAAAGAGCAAAGAAATGCATTTGATAACCAGGAATATCTTCCTGGGCCAAGTTTTCAGGAGCTGGAAATTCAGCTGAGAAATAAATGCAGTTTCATAGGACATTTTGTGATAAATTCAGAAAACACTCCCCAAAGTGTAGTTGTATGCTTTTTAAATAATGTGCACTTTTAAGAATGGTCAACAATAGCAATAGCACTTCGATTTATATATCGCTTTACAGTGCTTTACAGCACTCTTTAATCAGTTTACAGAATCAGCATATTGCCCCCAACAATCTGGGTCCTCAATTTACCCACCTCGGAAGGATGGAAGGCTGAGTCAACCTTGAGCCTGGTGAGATTCGCTCTGTCAAACTGCTGGCAACTGGTGATCAGCAGAAGTAGCCTGCAGTACTGCACTCTAACCACTGTGCCACTGCGGCAACAAGATTTCTTAAGAATGTTTTCTTCTTGGAAATCTCTGTGGTAAGATGTAGTATATCTAGATATCTCAATATATTTAGACATCTCAGTATATCAAATTTCCAATCTAGTGCAGCGGTATTAAACTTACTATCTAAATTAGAAGTTGGAAACTTAAACATTTAAGTACTGTAAAACATTGGTGGCAATCTCCCTAAAATTTAGAATGGGGTAAAAATCTTCAGAAAATGCTCCAAATGTTTTTAAATGTTCCATCTATTATACAATGAAATAGATTAGCCTACAAGGACTAGCCTAGAGGAATTTGGCAGCAGAATTTGGTGGAGCATTCAAAAAGGAAATCCTTAAGAAATCCTTTCTAAACTTTGGCAACTTTAAGATGGGTGGACTTAATTTCCCAGAATTCTTGGAGTTGAGGCCCATCCATCTTAAAGCCAAGGTTTAAGCCAAAAAGTTAAGAAAGATTGATATAGATAGTGCACGAAAAAAAAGTGAGTAGAGGGCAGGGGTGAAATATAAAATTTGTTACTACCGGTTCTGTGGGCGTGGCTTGGGGGGGTAATGTGACTGGGTGGGTGTAGCCAACTTTTTTTTTTTTAACTTTTCAAAGCATTTTTTCTAATGCTTTGAAAAGCCTCTGCTGATCAGGCAACTCAGCTGGGATCATCAGAGACTTTTCAAAGCAATTTTTTTTACCACCTCTTCGGCCAAGAGGTTGCAGAAAAAAATGCTTTGAAAAGCCTCTGACAATCCCAGCTGAGTCGCGCGATCATCAGAGGCTTTTTTTTTTACTTTTAAAAACATTTTTTTGTCAGAAGAGGTTGTAGAAAAAATGCTTTTACAAGTAAAAAAAAAAAGCCTCTGATGATCGTGCGGCTCAGCTGGGCATGGGGGTGTGTGCAGGGATTTTTGCTACCAATTCTCCGAACCACCCGCCGCCAGCGCTACCAGATCGGGCAATCCAGTCTGAACTGGGAGCATTTCACCCCTGGTAGAGGGGACTTGTGACCTATATTGCTCCTTGTATGTCTGCATCCCTGTCTCATAACATCAAAATATTAACACGGAGCACCTGCAAATTTAGTAGAGGCTGGGACAATGAATGGCCACACATCAGTTTATTAATAACATTTTAAAATTTCTTGGACTAAACCAACAAAATTCTATAGCAGGAACTGAAGCTAGAAGTGATATTCCAAACCAATGGAAATCAAATGGGCATGATCAGCTAGTGACACTAAATAAGGAAGAGAGTAACTGATATCCTGTACCATGAGAATTTTTTTTAAAAAAAAGTTTTCATGGCCATTGTAGAAACCTAAGCTCTAAATTTAGCTAGCCAGCTAGCTGCATGCTGCCTCAATCACAAAAGTAACTCAGAATTTCATACTGAAGAGGTGATTCCCTGGAGAAATTGAAAAGGAGAGGAGGTACAATTGCTACCTACATGAGGATAAAAGGGGAAATTGTCATAGTGGGTATCTTCCTAACATAAAACATTTAAACTATTATGTGCTGGCCAGATCCTCTGAGTCATGATGTTTTTTTGTCTCCTAGGAACATGAAACAGAGACAAGATGGAGCCAAGACTCATCCACCCAATGCAAAATTGTGCATCTCTGAGGGGACAAATTATATTGCAAAGAACAACTGAATCTCTCCAGACTCCAGGAAGCTGAGAACATCAAAGCCCAGGTGGTGACTTCTCAGAAGGAAAAAAGGGCGAGAATTGCTATATATCCAGATTGCTTCAGATGTGTCACCTTTCCCCCCAACCCTGTTCCAATGTGTGCGAATGTGTGCGAAGAAAAAATATTCATCAAATGTCTAGAATTCATCTGTGGTTCCCGGCATCCTGATATAGTCAGTTGACTCCATCACTGACTTTTGGAGGCGAGTCGTTGGCCCCCATGGAGAGGGCTCGCAACTTGGGCATCCTCCTGGATACACAGCTGTCCTTGGAGGAACATCTGACCGCTGTGGCCAGGGAGACTTTTTATCAGGTTCGCCTAATCCGCCAGTTGCGGCCCTTCCTAGGTCGGGATTCCTTGTGCACAGTCACTCATACCCTCGTCACCTCTCACCTGGATTATAGCAACACTCTCTACATAGGGCTCCCCTTGAAGAGCACCTGGAGACTACAGCTGGTCCAGAATGCGGGCGTGCGGGTAGTGACGCTCCCACATAACACCTCTCCTGCGTGAGCTGCACTGGCTCCTAGTGGTCTTCTGGGTGCGCTTCAAGGTGTTGGTTATCACCTTTAAAGTGCTCCATGGCATAGGACCTGGATACCTTCGAGACTGTCTGCTGCCACCAACGACCTCCCACTGACCCATGCGCTCCCACAGAGAGGGCCTCCTCAGGGTGCCATTGGCCAAGCAATGTAGACTGGTGGTCCCCAGGGGGAGGGCCTTCTCTGTGGGGGCACCTGCTCTCTGGAACTGCCCCCAGAGATACGAAGAATTCAAGACCTCGGTGCCTTCCGCTGTGCCCTGAAGACCTTCCTTTTTCAGCAAGCCGGGCTGGCTTAATGCTTTTTAAATGTTTTTTAATATGTTTTGTTACTGTTTTTTAACTTTGGGGCCAAATTTATATATATCTTTTTAAATTGTTTTTAATGTTTGTATCTATGTTTTTTACTTTGGCTATACACTGCCCTGAGTCCTTTGGGAGAAGGGCGGTCTATAAATTTGATAATAAATAAATAAATAAAGGCAAACAACAACAAATGACAGACAGCGTGGACAAGGAACCAGGAACAATTCATCCTAGATCTAATCTCTGGGAAAGAGCACTGGCTTTGCTGCCTTCTGATTGGTGAAAGAAGAGAAGGGAAGTGGCCAGCAAGCAAATAAACAGTGATGCTGTTGGCTGCAAGGTGCCAGAATGCTGGGACAGTGATCTGGTGTTAAAAGTGACATATCATTACTGGGAAGAGGAAGAGTTACGCAAACCAAAAACATTGATTTCATATGAACACTGGTCTAATGGCAAAGATTTTTTTGATTTCCTCATTAAAACTAATTTAAATGGCAGAGATTTGTAATTCCATACAACAAACCCTTATTCCGCTGACAGATCCTTTTGACTAGTATCAGAAATGACAAGAGATATTTTATTTTGAAACACTGCTTCAGGCCCAATTAAAATGATCCATTCTCACATCTGCCATGCTGTAAGACCAAAAAATTATGCAAAGACCTTTTGGACAGCACACATTGAGCTTTGTATGGAACATCCAGATTATCTTTTTCAAAGTTGAAATGCAATATTGTGAGCCAATATGGTGTAGTGGTTAAAGGCACCAGCCTAGAACCCAAGAGATTATAAATTCTGGTCCCGTTGGGTGACTTTGAGCCAATCATTTTCAGGCCTAGGAAGAAGGCAGTGGAAAATTACTTCAGAAAATCTTACCAAGAAAACTGCAGGGATTTGTCCAGGCAGTTGCCGGGCATCAAGACTGCCTCAAAGGCATCAAGAAAATCCAAGAAAGAAGGAATTTAGGATACAAAATAAATTGTTGCCTTGTTTCTGAAAAGTTGTAATTCAGATCTTATGTCTTCTGCAAAAGGTTCCAAACTCAGTCCTTGGCACTGTAAGACAGAAGAAATACTTTAATTTTTCCTGATAACACAAGGGATGCTGCTCCTTAAATAAAAATGTAGTGAGCACAACAGACCAATGCCTTGACTAAGATTGATATTAAAAAAAAAACTTTCTGGGTCCCCTTGAAGACCAGAAGCTTTTTAACTCTCTAAGGTTCTAGACCATATGAATCAAGGATGTTGGTGATGGCATGTAAACCTCAGGCACAAATAGGAACATACTAACAGGGATTGTTTGTGCATCTCCACTTGAGTTCTATCTTACGTTTATAACAAGAAGCCCTGTCTATCTTCAACGTGTTGACAGTTTTATGCTGTTTATCAGCATAATTTACTACACCGGATTAACAATGGAAGAAACTGAAAAGCGTCCAATGCACTCCAGCTTTGGACACACACTATGAAAAATGTTCTTATCCACTGACAAAGGATAACTTCTGTATTATGCAGGGAATCTAAAACCACACACTATCCCTGAACAGCAGCATATAAACACTGTCTTGGTTCTCAAAATTCTCCCGCACAAAAACTCTACTATTTCACTACAGAGAAAATGAACTACTCCATTGTGAGATGCTGCATAATGAAACGGTCCACAACTGCTACTCGGACCAGAGAAGGTGACTCAGCAGCATTTCACTGGTGGGCTTAAACTGTTGGGGTGGCTGAGTAGGACTTAGTTTAAATAAATAAAAAAATCATAATCTCACAGTAACATGTGCAGTAGCAGCAGAGAGCATGGTTGCGTTCAGGGTGTGCAAAACCTGGATAGCATTACAAAACTGGTAATTTTTTCTTTAAAAAAATATGGAACGACTTTGCATTTTTTTAGGTTTTGTTTTGAAAAGTTCTTATCACCTTTATCATGACTGTACAAAACGCAGGTTGCTAAGATCAAATGACACAAAATTGGTGCAACAATTTGGCATGCAGTATTTTTCCGGTCTATCAGGGCAACCTGGTCTACTCAAATATGGGACAGAGCATACTGCTTCCACTTTCGTCTTTCAGCCCCAATCCAGGAGCCTTTGTAGGCAGTCGTTTTTGTGACAAATTTGGCATACAGTTTGGACTGGGGGGAAAAATGGGATTTTAGCAGTTGTGAAATTATTATTTTTTTTTACTACCAGTTCTGTGGGCGTGGCTTGGTAGGTGTGGTGTAGCTTGGTGGGCATGGCAGGGGAAGGATACTGCAAAATCTCCAGTCCTATTCCACTCCACCAGAAGGATACTGCAAAATCCCCATTCCCTCCCCATTCCTGGGGAAAGGATATTGCAAAATCTCCATTCCCACCCCACCCCACTCTGGGGCCAGCCAGAGGTGGTATTTGCTGGTTCTCCAAACTACTCAAAATTTCCGCTACTGGTTCACCAGAACCTGTCAGAACCTGCTGAATTTCACCCCTGGATTTTCACCCTCCTTTTTGGGGGGGAAAAGGTGCATCTTATACTCTGAAAAATACGGTATTTGATTCCCTTCCTCAGCTACCATAAGGGTTTTACAGAAGCATTCAGTGTTTCAAATCCAGACAAATTTTTAAAGAAACATCATTGTTTCAGATCCACATAACTTCACATTAAGGCTGATCTAAAGAAGGACAAATGTCCTTTGCACATAATGTATTTGTCAGGTCAAAGAGCTATTAGCTAAAGATTAACAGGGCCACCACACCACCTGGGTTGTGAATCCTGCATGTCTAATTCAGTGGTGAAATCTTTGCCACTGGTTTGCTGGTGCGCGCCAAACACGTGTTGCGTGCGCGCATGTGCAATGTGTGCCAAACATGTGCTTTGTGAGCATGCGCACCGCAGACTACAAAGCAGCATGGAAAAAGGAGGCTTAGGAAGGTAAGTAGAACAGCGAGGGGGGAACAGCTGTGATTTCCTGCTTTCTAGCAAGTATAAATCGTGTGGCATGGCTGATCGTCGGAAATACTGGTTCCGACGAATCGGTAGCATTTTTTTACTACCGGTTCACCCAAACTGGTAGGTTTTATTACTACCGGTTCGACCAAACCAGTGTGAACTGGTAGCATTTCACCCCTAGTCTAATCTAAAGCTGACTATCACTTGCTTCCTCCAAAGTATTCAGTTTACAATGAAATAAAGACCTTATCATATATTTAAAAAACAACAACCAAAAACCAGTTAATTATGAAAGGCTTTCAGTTGCCCATACACCCATCCATCATACAAGGTTGCCTGCAATCCATTGCTGATCCAATGTAAATTTCTGAAATGATGTCATTCTCAGAAAACTACATTTGCATTTTCTTGCCATTACAGGTCTCTAAATCTGAGATCTTGCAACCCCAACCTGCTCCTATGCCAATATCCGGAGAGAGAATACAATAAATATGCACTATTGGTATATAAAACATTAGGCATAGTCCCACAGTGACTATAAACCAGAAGTGAACAACTTCTTTGTGGCTGTGAGCCTAACTTTCAAATTCTGAATTGTTTTTTTTTTCCCTAGCCACCGAGATACACAGAGGTTTGATATAGAAGGAGCCTTGGGATGGAGCTGAACAGTTTCTGTCCATAGTATGAACCCAGAGGAGTTGTGAGAGCTGTGCAAATTGACTAGACCTTCCTGCAGTTCTACCATAATAAATAAATTATTATCTTATTTGTGCAAGTTGCATATCTTGGTACTTAGTGGCTTTGATATTAATATTTAAATGTTAACCAACTCAGGGAAGAAAATGGAAAAGGCAGCAGGTTCTTATTCTCTGCAAAGAGCTTTAAGTTTTTCAGTCTCCGTTATTCTGTTATGTATGCCTTTGAAAGTCAGAATCATCTGGGTCAGTTAACAAATTATATTGATTGCTGCTGGGAGGATAAACAGTAATATGGCCCTGAAACTTTTCTTGGTGTGCTAAAATCAAATGACTGCTTTTTCACACACCCATCTTCTGACCTGGAAGGGGTCTGGCATGTCTGAAGATCCCCTTAAGTCTCCAAACTCAATCACCGACACACTTCTGATGCTCTTTACCACATGGAAATGTTTCCTTATCACATGGAAGCATCAATACATGGGCAGCCACATAACATAAACAGAATCAGTATCGCTCTGTAATATTGTAGTATTAATTAAAAAGTCACTTCATAGCTTTTCAAGTTCTTATCTACCAAAATGACCTCCAAAATATTTTAGCTGGCTGAAAATCCTATTGCTATAAAGAACATCCCATCTTTGCATTGGGTTGGAGGTCATTTTTAAGCCTTGTCTCTATTAATATAATCATCACAAGTTAACTGTATCTCCTATAAATCATAGGAGTATAGAGTTGAATTTCAGCAGATTAACCCCTGAGAGTAAAAACATCTCAAGGTATCTTCTCCAAAGTTTCACCCCACAGATACATTGGATTTCAGTGCTCAATATCCAATACAATTGTGGGTGACATACACTGTAGTATAAGACACTTCAGATATTGAATTGTGGAGGGCTGACTTGAAGCACCCCTTAAGAGGGCCTGGTGGCTCAGCAGACTGATAGCATTGTGATTAACACCAGCTGTCTGCAATTACTGCAGGTTCGAATCTCGCCAGGCTCAAGGTTGACTCAGCCTTCCATCCTTTCTAAGGTAGGTAAATTGAGGACCCAGTTGTGGGGGCAATAAGCTGACTTTGTATAAATATACAAAAGTATGAAGGCTATTGCTTAACACATTGTAAGCCGCCCTGAGTCTCCGGAGAAGGGCGGCATATAAATCAATTTTTTTTAAAAAAAGTGTGTTAGACTAGACCAGTGATGGCGAACCTTTTACATCACCACGTGCCGGCCTGCATGCCGGAAATGGCACGTGAAACCATGCCACCTGGACCACGCAGCCTCGCTGGCCATTGCACACATGGGAGTACCAAAACCCAGAAGAGCAGTGTTCTGTTGCGCATGCGCAAGCCGGCACCCAAACTTCTGGTTTCCGACACAGATGCACGCCCAACAAACAGCTGGCCGTCACGCATGGACGCAACATAAACCTAGAAGTTCGGGTGCTGGTTCGGGCATACGCGATGGAACGCTGCTCTTCCGGGTTTCAGAGATCCTGCGCGTACAAAGGCCAGCTGACTGGCGCGCGTATGTGTGCACAGGAGCGCGGATGAGGAGCTAGCGCAGCCGCGCATCCCTCACGGGATGTTTCTGCATGCTGCTTCTGGCATGCATTCCATAGGTTCGCCAACATGGACCTAGACCATCCTTTACTTAAAGCTCTCCAAGCAAAAAGATTTCATAGTTTGCTATCAAAGCTAGCTTCGGTATTTTTGAACTGCTCCAGTAGGGGACAGGCAAAGCATAATTGAATTAAAATACTTCCGAGTTGGAAGATTTAGCATTAACCAGGACTTCACTTGACTCCAGAAAAAGTCTAGTACAGAACTGATTTCTATCAACCTCTTTGGAATTTGCTAAGATTTTAATTACAGGCCCCCTTGGCTGTGTTTATTTAAAGTTTTATTTCAAATTGTTGAAAAGTATATTCTTTCTTTGCCCAGTATTTTTTCTATTAAGTGAAGGTTCCATTTGCTTGGAAAATATTGCAGTTTTGGTTTGAATGCAGCCCCTTATGTCTTTCAAATTATATAATGGCCATACTTCTCCACAGAAATATAAAGTATACTCAGAGGCCTGATGATTTTTGAAAAAAGAGTTGTGACTAAATCACTGAAAGTGGTCTGTAATATGCCATGAGAAAGGCTATGGAAAAGAAACATTCTTGACTTGGAGTGACAAAGTACATCCTTCTATCTTCAGGATTCTTTCCTAATTTTAAGTTATCTTAGTCTGTAGTTTGGGATCATTAGTAAATAAATTGCCGACTAGCAATGGCCTTCTATAAATCTAGGGTGAAATTCCACTTGTAGTTGTCCATAGTAGAAATGTACAAAATGTATTGTTCTGGAGGCAGACTATGCTGTTTTTCTTCCAGACACACCAATATAAATGCTCCTGAATTGTCTGATAGCTTATAGTGTTCTGTAGAAGGCTCAGCCCTGAAATGGCATTTCAAAAATCACTTCCTCTTCCAGAAAACTTATTCCCCCCTCCAAAATAAAATAACTATTGGATTACCTCTGGTACAGTCAGATAGGCATGATCCCTGAGGGCAAAATAAGAACCCTCCCCCAAGCCAAATGAAAAAGACATAAATAAACTGTTGAATCTGTTGCCACAAGAACTGGAAAGGTTATTAAGTAAGAAAGGTTTAAAAGAGAACTGAAGAAATTCAGAAGTCAATTACCAGTAGGTAATTGTCAATTACTTGTCAATTGCCATTTATCATGCTTGTCAATTACCACTAGGCCTGATGGATTATTTTACTACATCCTTAATCATAGACAGAATACTTTAAATCAGGGCTGTCCAACTCACAGCCCCAAGGGCTGGATGCATCATGTGCTGGCCACACCCACGCCCGGTTTAGCGAAGGGGGAAAAAGTCCCGATATATCACGTGATGCTGCCGTGACGCCGCGAGTTTGTCGCCCCTGCTTTAAATGTCAACTTTTGAGGATCCACAATGCAAGAATGATGTCACCCTCCCATAAGCAGTTGCAAGTCTTCTGAACATTTTAGTTGGCCATTGCATGACGGAAAATGCTAAGTAAGAGGTGGTGTGGACTTGATCCAGCAGAGATGTTTTTATGTTAAAATGAATGCTACGGAAACCCTTTGGTAAAAATGCCCATGTTAGGCAGAATTATGTATAAGAGGAGAAATGTATCGCAACACTGCAATCTTGAAATAGTAAGTAAACATACAAGGCACATTGCCTATAGTTTATTTGTAAAATTAATTGATGCCCCTGTGCTAGTACCAACCATTCTCTTTCTGACACACAGAAACAAGTACTGACATACCGTATATTCCTTTCCCTCTTCTATGAAAAAAATAAACTAGAAATGGGGTGAGAAGAAGGGGCAGCAGCAATGCAAATTAAAGCCAAGAAAGAAGAAAACCGAATGGAGATAAGTGGGGTGATGATAATTAGGCAGAGAAACAAAAGTAAAATGCCCTGTTACAAAAGGGTTAAACTCACCAAGTATGCAGCTTGTTTTAAGCAAAGCCACCCATATTTTTCAGCAGCCTGTTGACAGTCTATTGTCATCTATATTTCTTGTCCATGCTGTGGTTTCTTCTTCTTTTCAAGGTGAGTTTCCTTTCAGGTCTATACAATGAGTTCATTTGCCCTAAATGATGGTGGATATCAAAACTGAGAATAACAACAACATAATTTGGAATTTCCAGTTTGCATAAAAAAAGAGAAATCAAATGAGAGATCAAGCAGCAAATGCATTCTATGAGTTATTTGTTTTCCAGTGGAAGGATGTATTTATTTATCTATTAAATTTATTTATTAAATATATACAGTCTGCCCAGTGGTGGGATTCAAGTAATTTAACTACCGGCTCTCTGACATAATGATTTCTTCCAACAACCAGTTTGCCAAACTGCTCAAAAAGTTAACAACCGGTTCTCCCGAAGTGGTGCGAACTGGCTGAATCCCACCACTGAGTCTGCCATGTATTAAATATGCTTAAATGTAAATACAACAGTTTTGCTTGGACATTGGATCATAAAGCTATATGTAGTAATGTCCACCAGCAAGAATGTTGTAAAGCACAACCCAATCTCCTAATAACAGATGGTTTGTGGGAATATAGTTATTCCCAGGCTCAGGGATGACAGATTCATGCAAAAAAAAGTAAACCACAGTGCTCAAAATAAACCATACACTCAAAGAAGCATTTATTAGGATATTATAATCCACACATATCAGAACTAGGGCAAATACACAATTAAAGAAAATAGCTTCCCTGGTCGTTTACCATTAGGACTGGGTGATCAAATATGTTTAAATGGCATCTTGAAACATTTAAATAGCAAAGGACACTCTGAAAAGTGCAATTTATTGCTTTTCCCAGTTGTGGAATTTTTGTTAGAATTTATATAGGTTTAGGGATTTGTTGTTCTCATACCTTCATTATAATATGAGAACTGCTTTTTTTCCTGAGTTATATTTCCACAGTCAACTTTGTGATGCGAAAATATGATTGTTTCTACTGGACTTTCCAACTGAATGTTAACTGACTGGGAAAGATGACAATACAGGCAATCAACTTACAACCACAATTGGGAGCAGAATTTCTGTTGTTAAGCAAAGCATTGGAGTCGCACCCCATTTTATGACCTTTTCCTCCCAGTTAAATGAATCACTGCCATTGTTAAATGAATCACACAGTCATTAAATGAATCTGGGTCCCCCCATTGACCCTAGTTGTTGGAAGCCAGCTGGAAAGTTGTAAATGGCCCCAGGACACTGCAACTGTCACAGATACATGTCAGTTGCCAAGCACCTGAATTTTGAATACATGATTACATGGGGATGCTGAGATGATGATGATGATGATGATGATGATGATGATGATGATGATTATTATTATTATTATTATTATTATTATTATTATTATTGAATTTCTATACCGCCCTACTCCCGAAGGACTCAGGGCGGTGCACAGCCATGAAATAAAACACATAGATATACAAAATTTAA